GACAATTGACTATCTAGTCCATGTGTTTCTTTTATATATAATATATTTATTATCACTCATTACTGAAAAAGTTCGACAACTTTTTACACTAAGTTGCTTTATTATGGCTCAGGGTATAAATCAAAGGTGCTACATTGCTTCTTCATTCTAGGACTTAAAAAGGCTTTGAAGTGGTAAGAACAGGAATCCTGGAGATGACAATTAGCAGCTTTCTTGGATTACTAAAGAAAGTTCTAGATATTACAGATAATATGACATTATTTTGAAGGTTGATAAGCAAGCTGTGACAAAGAAACCTGAATCTTATTCAAAATTTTAAAGACAGGAGCTATTCTAATGAAAATAATTATAATCTGTTCTGTAGATATCCTTGTCTTGCCTATAAGCAACTCTCTCCACAGCTTTTTTAATTCCCTATGACTATCAATCCTGTATTTTCCTACAACTATGCCTTGCTTAGATTCCTTCCTTGCTGTCTGTTGGCCACCATCCTTTGAAGTCCCATTTCTCCTAGAAATATTGCTACAGCAATAATTTCCCCCAATCCCTTAATTAAAGGTTCTATTTCCTTTTTTTTTTTTTTTTTTTTTTTTGTTATTTACTTGAATTTAATATGAGCTTCTTTGGGCATATATGAGTTTTAAATGATTTTAAAGAGTAATCCAAACAAAATGGGTATTTTTGTCATCCAGAGGGATACTTAAGTAAAAAAAGAGTAAAACACAGAATTGGTTTGGGTTTTTTTAAATTTATGATCTCTATTATTTTGAAAGTGTTCTTTTCTTGGTAAGCAGTTAAAAGTATTTGCATTCAGTGAGGCTTCTGAAAGCAGCTTATTTTAGAACACAGTCCAAAACTCAACATCCACAGCAATGTTTTTTTAAGAGCTCTAATGTCTAGATAACTCCTGCAAGAGGCATGTCATGCAGATGAACTGAGGGGCATGTAGAAACTTTAAAACAGGAGTGCTCATGTCGGAAGTTGCTCACATTTTGATGTCCTTTTAGCATATCTGTCATTCATGAGGGAATGCATAATGTTGTGCCTTGTTGTCCTCATATGAGTAATTTAACAGAAACTCCTCAAGTAAAGATTTGTTTCAGAACAGAAACTCCTCAAGTAAAGATTTGTTTCAGAACTCTCTTGAGAATTACTTCTATGTAAGACTGGGTATTTAAATTGTTCTTACTAATTTATTATTTTAACAGACCATTTGAATCACAATTTCCATGAGTTAAAAGGTATTTTTGTTATAATCTTATGAGTGATGGTTTATTACATTGCCATCCTCAGAACAATCCCAAACTTACCTATACAGCTCCTTCACAATTGCAACTACCTGTATTTATAAGATGACTAGAGTTTTAAGACACAATTCCAGGATGCCGGCAATTGTAGAAGACATTAACTCTTTAGCAAAGGCTTGTGCATATGAAGTAAATAAGCCACACATCTATTTTTCACACTCCTTATACGGGAACAGCATTTTACATACCTGCATTTTATGAGTGACTAAGGACAATGGCTAAAAGTATAAAGCTATGTATTTACTTTAACAGACTGTCACCCCAGTCGACGTTGTTTGACCATATATTTAGGTATTAACAAAATTCTTTAAAGTATTAAGTTTTTACTGCTCTTCCAACACTTATACATCAGTCAAAAATTACTGTGATTTAATATTTGTAATATTTCATGTTAGTATTTACAATGGTGGGGGCAGCAGGGGCCTCTGGTGGTCTAGTGGTTAGGGTGCAGGACTCTCACCGCTGCGACCCGGGTTCGATTCCCGGCCCCCCGGGCAGATGGAGCTCAGCCCTGTGAGGCAATCCACCTAAGAGAAGGTCACTCTAAACAAACCTACGTTCTGAGACCCTCACTGCCACTGTCCGAGTTTCACTCGGCCCCGGCAGATGAACCTCAGGATTAAAGGGTGGGCTCAGTTCAGCGCACGCTGGGTCTCACCTAAAAAATCCACTGCGCAGGCTCGAAGGGTCAATGACCTTTCCCAAATCTTCGCTCGCGAAGACTGGCCATTATTTACAATGGTACCAACTACAGCAGACAGCATGTAAGACCAGTTCTTAATGATTAATAAATTTAATAAATAGAATTGCCAATCAAGAGAGATTAGTTAAACATCAAATATTTCAAATAATATGCAAATGCACTTTAGTACTTCTTCTGATGTAGTTGTGATTTCCCAGGCTCAGATCACTATTTCACTTTCTTATCTAAGTATTTTTTGTAGAGCAAGCCCCAGTGTTGTCAGAACTTTCCTGCTTCCGTGTTGAATTTGATTTGTCTTTGCACACTGAAGACTTTTAAAAGATTTGAGATGCAGGTCTTCCAATCTACACTCCCCTCCTTTGTACTGGTTTCCTCATATATTGTCTAAGCCAGCTACAGCTTCTCTGCACAGCCAGACAACTTTTCATCAGGACAACACTAAGTATTTGGCTTTTCCTGAGGAAAAGGTTAAAGAGCAACAAAACATCATAAGGTACAAAATACACTGAACTGCATATTACGAGGATACAGCCAGAAAAAACAGGTGAAGAAAAGCAGAGAAACAGAATTTAACTACCAATAAAAAGGGAAAATACTAAATATGGGTGGTATTAATGAGTCATTACTGACGAGACATTTCCCATCCAGCAGAACTCTCCTCCCCAAATACCACAGTCCATATTCTACACCATGGATTTGTATTGACCACTCTCTGTCTATCATGCCTTCATTTTACATGTTTTCTTCAATCTAGATGTCTCTAGCCCAATAGAACAGATCTTTTTAACTTTCTATTTATTTAAGGCAGCACATTCCATCTCACTTTCTGTACTTCTCTTTGTTAACACTCTCAGAAGAAGACTAAATAGTTACTGAGAAGGGGTAAAAAAACCCCAAAACAATGACTGAGATTTATTGTTATTTTTGCCAGGTTTCATTTTCCTAAGGTAACATCTATACACATGGGCTAGTACAACAACTAAAATACCTTTTCTTTCAGGAAAATGCACTCTTCACACTCTTTCCAGCACTGAAGTTCTCTTTTTAACAGGAAAGATATACTGTGGGTGAATATCTCAGACTGCTCATTTATGGACCTCAGTAACATTACAGGTGCTGAAGTCTGAACAAGCAATTGATTTATACCACTATTAAGTGCCGACATTCTTTTCCCAAACAAAGTTTAACTGTTCGTGCAGAAGCATTGCCTCATAATCAATAACACCTTCCACCCGCCAAAGGTATCTCATGTTTCCAGCTTGAAATATGGAGGTGCCTTATTTGCACTGGGACAAAGTTCCTGCAGTGTATCATGAGTACATTAAAATACAACAACTGAATTGAGTTCAGCAGAAATCAGAGCCACTTTTTTCACTTTCATGCAAAAGCACCTATTAAAGATGGAGCCACTCATATGACAACTGCCTAAACTAAATACAGGACAAAACTTTTATGGATGTCTTTATAGCAGACTTTCCTTCTCAACAGCTCTAGGTGATGCAGGCTGGACACTGTCAAACAATTCATCCTTTGACCTACTGCCTGACATGATCTCACCTGTAACTTTCTCAGACTTCAGCAGGGATCTGGCTGGACAAATTAGTGTGAGGGGTCAATGATCTGCTTTGTAGTCTGCCCTTCCCAAAGGACATCCTCATAACTTCTGGTCATTAGGCACAAAGGACACAACTACAGTGCTGATACACATGGTGGTCTCATGATGGGCAACCACAAACAGTATGCAGCAGACAGAACTCAATAGCAGATGTATCATGTCACAGAAATTTTGACCATGGACACATTTGGGTTTGATCATATGGTCACTGAATTGTTAATTACTGAAAACTGATTTAATAACTTTACTAATAATATGAAAATGTACATTTCATACTCTTGATTATGAACAAAATGAGATATGGCTGCTACTATCAGGTTTTGATAAATATTTAGGGGCATTTTCTTAAGAGAAATCATGCAGACCTTTATGATAGACTGAATTACAAAGAAAGGAATTTGAAAACATTTAAAGGCCAAATTGTGATTTATTGTATAATTATATATTTTAAGGGGAATAGCAGGCTCCTTTATACATTTCAAATTATTTTTTTCTTTTGTTTGAAAACAGTTTGTTTGAAAATAGTGAAGCTTGCAAACTGTTCAATGAATTGAAATGATAATTCTTCAAGTAGGAATTTTCACGAAGTTACATTGTCTCAAGAGCATGGAAATGTTGCTCATCAATGCTCATCTGGGTCCCAGTCTAGAAAACTATTTAAACATATCAGGTTAGCCTACAGTTAAATAAGTAGGAATTTATGCTTTACTGCCTGAGAACCTGGTAAGAAATGAGTTAATAAATTGTTACATTTTTCTCCAAAGTCAAATAAAGGTTGAAAAATATTAACAAAGCTAAGAAAATTTCCATTTTATCTGACACACGTTGCCATTCTTGCCTTAAAAATATGATTTGAGGAGTAAGGTCTGCTTATTCTTTCTGCCAAGGTCTCTCACTTACATCTGTCTAGATCTACTGATTTCACTCAGTAAACCAATATATTTTACTGCTACCATACATAGTAAACAAGGTACATTTCTGAGTTTTGAATCTGAATTTTTTTAAGGACATCTGCTTAATTGTTTTAGTCTCTGGAATACTAAGAAATGCAGAGAAACTCTAGCCATGTTCTCCTGTTGCATTTTCTTACAAAATGATTTGCAACTATCAATAGCTATTGACACAAGAAAAAAAAGTAACTTTTGCAGAGACCTTTGCATAACTCTGCAATAAAAAAGAGCTTCAAATATACAAAAAACTAGAGAAATTGAAACTATACTGCTGCCACTTACCAATCTACAGCTGGACTATTCAAATATGGCCATAACAGTAATAAATAATCACGTGTTTAATGCTTTATATTCTCAAAGCTCTTTACAAATATTCATTACAATGTTTCCAAAACAGTGAACAAGGAATAGTCACTTAGACTTACCCACATTTAATCTGCCTGTGACTTCCCCATTCGAATTGCGAGCATTCACAGTCACATTGTGAGTAGACTGGAGAAGCAGTGATGAGTCCTGAAATACAGAGAAAGCAAACATTATGTTAGGCAGAACATAATTAACAATAATTACAATTGTTAACAATTTTCAAAATTTAGTATAGTCTTAATATCAACTCGGTCACCACAAGATCTTTGTACCTACAAAACTATCCACAAATGTCATCAAATAATGCAGGCAGACATTTCTGATTACTTAACTATATTAGATTTAAAATAAGAAAAAAAAGTATAGGGAATAATTCAGGTGAACAAAATCTGTGTTACTGGACCAACGAACATGGCTGCTAACATTTTAGCTTTTCGAAAAAATGCTTAAGTACTGGATCTTCTAGATCTACAGGATAGCCATTTAATTAAGTGTGAGCATTCCACTTTGTGAATTCATACTGTTGTATTAACTTGACGAGAAACATGCATGTGAATTCTGTTTCCTCAATGGTCCATGCAGTCTCTAGGCTGTTGCTTAATTTTGGCACCTGGCACTGACTCTCCTGGCAAGGAAGTTCCAACAGTGAGTGATGGAAAAAGTGGCAGGTTGACTAGATCAATGCTGACTTTAATAGATGACAGTACAAATAAGTCTAACTTAAATTGTCTCCCAGTCTGCCACTCTGAAGGATAACAGAAGCATATCAGTGGAATGAACAGCATCACCTTGTCCACATCCCTGAATCACAACTTGATCTGAGGCATTTGCTGAACAATCAGAGCCTCATGCCTACCCATCATTCTGTGCTACTGAAGGAAGCCAGGGCATGACAAACAGGTGTAATTGGTATCTTCATTCACGCCAAGCACTACAATCCAGAGTAGCTATTGTAGGCAATTCAAAATTTCATGTCATTCTTAGACTGCAGCCAGAATGGAATTACTTCACCAATGCCAAAACATCCCACTGTGTTAACTCATGGCTTCTTGTTGTGCTTGTTGAACTCCTCCCAGGTGATGTACCATTTCCATTATTTATTCCCAGACCTTGCACTCTAACTGTCTGTACTTCAGGCCCGTTGGAGCCTCCCTAAGGTACTCCTTGTCTTGAACAGCAGACGAACAACTGTTTTGAAAGACCTAGCTGCTCACTGTGCCCCACCAAATTAGATATACAGACAGTAATGAAACTGGTTCATAGCAAGAGACCTTGCTATGGGGTATTTGAAGGGGGCATTTAGAAACATCCCAAAAATTTGTGAGGAAGGCACAGAGTGGGTTCTTCTTATGTTTTTACTTAATTTATCACCTGAATTATCTTTAAATGCAGCTGATTTTCAGGGGGATCATAGTGGCCACTGTCTTTATTTGACCTTAACTATTAGAAAATCATCTGGGGACAGAAGGTCTGATCATGCTCATGTGGATCAACAAATTGCAGATAAACTGGTAGACTTTAAAAGACGGGAGGAAGTTTTTTGCAGTACAGGTGCTTTCATACTAAAGCACGCTTTTTGTCTGAAGGACAAGAACTTAGTAACTGATAAGAGTGCCTAAGCAGGTCTCAGCTGCCAAATTATCAGGGAATACATGATATGAAGAGGTATTAGCAAGCTGCCTGCTTGTGACCTCAGAGGAGACACTCATTCCTAGATAAATGAGTTTGTAATTACTGTAATATTGTTAAAGATCAGTCTCTTTCACAGCTATGGCTTCTGGTTCTTTTCCTGGACAAGTGAGCCTATGTGGCACCTTGAAGGGCTAACCCCTGAAAATAAGTCCCAAGTCATGTTCTCATTGTAATTTAATATTTAAGAGTATGAGATAACCTCAGAATTTTGAACACATTTTACATGATGAATTTTAGTACAAACACTTATCTAGTAACAGTGGTAGAAGCAATACTGAGTTTGCAGTCACACTTTTTTAAAAAACCAAAATCCCAGTATCTTACAAGTAGGAAGATAGACTCTCTCAAAAGAAGTCACTAAGTGAGCAAAATAAAAGAATCCCATTTTGTAAATTATATCAGGAAAAAGTGAAAGCTAACAAAACTAATAAAAATAATGAAAATGTCTTACGAAAAAGTTAAGCCATGTGTTAGAATGAACATTAAGGGTAACAAGTTAGTATGAAGTGGAAAAAGAAGGTCAACAAACACTGGAGATTGGGTAAATATAGTACTGTTAAGTAGATGTCTAAATGACCCAAAAATCTGGGCATCTTTACTACATTTATTTGATTGACACTAGTTGATTTAAAAAATAAGTTAGTAATTTGTAATATCAAATGTAAGTGCGAATAAACTGTATTTTAGACCTGTAGCTGCCACGTATGTGGTTTTGACTAATTAAAATCTAGTAACATATTTAAAAAACCCTCATCTTTTATCTTTCCTTGAAAATGCATTAGCAAAGATGCAATGGTGTTGTCTACAACTCTGTCTTGGACTCATAATGAAGGCATAAAGTTATAATAGGCTCCAGAGATGATGCACAGCAAGTAGATTTTCTGCTACATATTTTCTTAGCACTTTGAAGACCTCATTAGGTGAGAAAAGCTGTTAGGAGACTGCAAGGAGAAAACTATTAAGGAAAGGGAGAAAGCTCTTATGATAGCTGTGACGGGCCCAATTCTCTAAGACAAACTTAGAAAAAGAAAGCATAACAAATAAGTAACTTCCCGAGAATAAATATATAGATTGCACCCAGGAGATCAAGCTACAGGCAATTAAGCCTCTAGAGAGTTTAAATATTTAAAAAAGCAAGGAAACAAACAAACAGAAAACCTCTGATGAACTATCAGTGGGCCAAGAGAAGCAGTAGCCTGAAGGCTCTAATTAATGCATACTACTAATGATCATGATGGGTCATTAGCCAGCTAAGCTTATATTAGACGCTGCCACACCTCTTTCTTCCTACGTTGTACTAAATGTATTAAGAGCTGAAAGGAATATTAAGAGAGCACAAATGGTAGCTTAATGTTGCATAACGATGTTTGGGAGTAGAGAGAGTTCTTAAGTATTAGCTATGCTGGTCTTACAAAGTTACATGTCTTACTGATAAACAACCTAAAGGGAAATTCATTTAAGCACATAAATAGTTTTCCCACTGCCTGTCAAGCAGAATAGCATAAGAAATAAAATGGAAATACAGATTCAGTAATGGAATTTCACTGTCTTAATTAAGAGCTGTTCCTGATACTGGAAATACTTGTTGCAGAAAGAGAGAAAAAGAAAGGCTTAATACAAGTAAAATATATTGGCATTACTTAAATTCTAGTAATCAAGTATTTTAACAACCTCATTCTGAAATATTTATTTACATTTTCTCTTGCTGTAGCAATACAAACAGTTTTTCTGTAGGTTCAGAAAAGTGGCTATTTCTTCTCGTTTGAAGATATGAAAGAGTCATATTTGGCTTTTACTGTCACTGAATAGTACTTTATTGAATGAAATGTCCCATTGGTTGCTGATAATGTTCATAAAACAAGGCTTTATTTTGTGAGAGTTTAGATTATGGTCAATAGATCTGAAAAATATTCATTTTACTGGCCAGAGGCAGATAACCCTCTAAAAAAAAAATCACTGGAATAAGTTTCAGAGACCCCCTGGATAATTAAAAAACAATTCAGATTCTCTCTTTGTTTTTCTAAACCTACTACTGCCACACAAATCTTTCATAACATTCCCATTCTTGGTGACATTTTAAAGTCAATCTGTTTGTATTTTCTTTGATTATGCTATTCCTTTTTTCACCTCAACAATAATAACAAAACAAACTTTTCTGTCTGTGTAAACAAGACTAAATCTTAAATCTTTCCATTTAGACTTGTAGACCTTATGTACACAAATATACAAACATATCATACATTTGATAGCATCGTGCTAGAAGTGACAAAACCTGAATTTATTAGAGAAATCATAACTTCTCCAATGGGGTCCACTAATTTTAGAGATACTGAAGCTATTCTGTAGTGGAAGAATAAATAAAACAAACAGTTTAACAGAGAAGTCTATGTTTTAAAATAATAAAAATGATGAAAATCTTTCCACACACTCTTAAATTTTTAGCATTACTTATATATGACAACCTTTATAAATCCTTTTTGAGCTACTGCTTATTACATGTCTAAGAGATAAATGCCATAGCATCATTGCAACGTAGCATCATTGCAATATCTGCCGTAGCAACATTGACCTTTTAAAATATGCAGAAATATGTGGGTATATAGCACTACTGAAAGATTATCCGCTTACCACTCTAGAATGGATTTCTTTGGCATAAAGAGGGAATAAGAATTCAGATTCCCCTTCCAGACGAAGACCTTCTTTTGTAACACGCAGGTGTCCCATTCCAGTCTAAGGAGAAGATGGAAGAATTATGCATATTTATTTTGTGTGTTTTTTTTCACAAATTAAACACTTCTAGAGCTGCCTGCCTCCAGTCTGTTGATAAAGATACAAATAGTAATGCGTTCAAAATTTTAAGAATTCCTTATTTCTTCCATGAGTAATTTTTTTTGAGAAACTGCATGTTTCAAGAAGTTATTAAACTTGGTGATTATTTTTCCTTTTTTTTTTGGCAGAGGGAGGGGGCAGTGGGCAGGAATAGAGTAATACAGTCATTACCTTAAAAAGAAGTACATTTGTATTGGCTGTGCTGAAATTGCTTTTGTACTCACCTTCTAAAAATGTCATGAACAATAAACTTCTACACATAAGTACTTACATAAAACAAACCTTATATTAACATCTCAAGGTTTATTTATCAATAATATATTTTACAAAGACTGTAATACTTCTAAGCCTACTGAAGAGGCAAAGAGAGATTTTTATTTGCTTCCCTTTTCAGTAATTACCTCCTTCTTTTTAATTAATTTTTAATCTATTGGTTTAGGTTTTTTCTCCTCTAATTGTAGGTCAAGGCTCTCTCTCTCACATTATCATGTACCTTTTCTTTATCACCTCCTTCTTAGTTTTTGTACCTTTGTCTTTCTCTCTTCGTCACTCCCTCCTGAGTTCTGTCCAATTGTGCTTTCCAGTTGATACCTTATTTCATTCTTTTTATTTTCTTTCATCATTATCATATTACTGATAATGTGAAAAACGAGTGAGAAATTACTTCAGTAAGTACATCTGAGGACTTCCAGGCTTCAGCTGCAAGGTATTTTACAGGTATTTAGCTAATTTGTAAAGGATTCACCCCTTTTCCTGCCATAAAAAGTGACAGAAAACATGACAAAAAAAGTGTAGCCTTTCAGCTTGGCCACATGTGAAAATATTTCAACCCAACTGCCTCAAACTACAAAGAGTAAGTGAGAGGGCTAAATAAAAAACAATAAATCCAAAAAGTATTTCCACCCAAAATAGTTTTCATGTTGTTCTCCACATAAGCAGAAAAGATACATAGCAGGCCACTGATGATACATTAATAACCTATTCATCTAATGAATTATGCTTACCACCAATAAAAGTTATAACTTGAAGAGACTGTAATTCTTTTTAAATATATGATCTGTCTAATCAGATTATGTATTATATCTATACACAATGCTAAATAACATGTCAAACCAGCTTTCAAAGAAAAAACAGAGCTTTTTTTTTTTTTGAGCAGGGTTGAAAAGAGACAAAGAAACAAGCTTTGCTTAAATTCCATAAGGTAAGAAATATTCATTCACTCCACTGAAAAGCACAACTGCAATTCTTCCTCAGCAAGGATTTGTTTCAGGAAAGAGGCTTTCAGGATAGCTATTTATGGAATCTGTTTTTCAGGGTCAAATATTTTACTGCTTCAAAATATATAATGTATGGACTTTTCTCAGCGAAAGTAGACACAACTTCTAAATTCTACCCCATTGCGAAGCTTTTAAAGTACCTACTATATAGTGATATGAGGCAAAATTAAAATAATACCTATGATGAGTGCCCTATGGCTTACATAATGACAATTTCTAGCCAGCACTGACTGATTTAGAAATATGTTTTTCTATTTAAGACTATGGACAGTTTTTTCTAACCTGTAACACAAAACAGATACCACTTCAACGTCATAAAAACACAGAGGTTTTAAGACAAACACTTTTGAAAAATATGACATGAAATATCAGGATATTCTAAAGATTTATGGCCAACAAACATCTTTAATTAACCAAATTTAGGGTCTCATAATTTGGTCTGACCTCATGCCTTCCCCCATCAGGTGAAAGTAGATTATATTAGTGACTGGGTTTGAAGACAGATTGCATATTTTTATGGAATATAAAAAACTAAATAGTATATTATAGAGTAAGTATAAAAAAAGTGACATTGACAAATCTGAAATACAAGAAAGCAGAGGAAGAAGTAGCAATTCTTGCTCTGAAGCAGACTGGGGAAATTAACAAACTCTTGGGTGGCAACTGCTATTCTACCTTTGGGAGGAAAAAATTTTTAGTAGAGACAAAAAAAAATTATGTGGAAAAAGATTATGCAATTTACTCAGCACACTCTTTCTAATGGATTCAGATTTCTCAGCAATGATTATTCTACAAATGCTATATAGACAAAGAAATGTCTTTGCCATAAAGAATAATATGCTGTATAACAAAACTTAGCACTTCCAACTTATGATCATAAGTTCATATTTTTCAGTAAATCTAGTTATATCACTCAGGATTACTTTGTAGAAGTATGTCCTCAAGTATGTCCTATTTTCTTCATCAGGTATTTCATTTAAGCATTGACACAAAGCTCACATTCTCACATATCTGCATAAAAGCCTCATTATCCATTCTCACTGACCACTTGGGAAGCGCAAAACCAGGGAAATTTAGACTTGGGTTATGTACATAAATGACTATCTGTGATGACTAACATAAACTTTGTAAGATGCATGCAAACAACAAAAAAATGTGGATTTCATATAATGAAATTACCATTGTGATTGTAAACAATTATTATGTCCTTAGTACCGTGATATTTGAGCATCTTAAGACTGTAAAAGTACTGAGTAATGCAGTACTGTGAGATGGGGAAATTCTATTATCCCCCTTTTAGATTTGGCAAATTGAAGTTACGTTGAATATAAGAGAGAAGGATTTAGGATAAACAACCACCTTAACGCACTGAGATTCAGTGCTAAGTTCCTTGAATAGGCAGAGCCCAATAGTTATACATATGTTCTCTCAACAATCACTCTGCTTCTTATATTACCATTTAGGAGAAGCCAAATATTATTTATTGTGACTTCCTCAGTGATAAACAAACTAGTGCTTTCAGTTTCAAAGATTTGATTCTGTTCCTATTCAAATAACTGAATAAAAATATTTCTATTGACCTGATTAAGGGGTCCAAACATCAGTGACATGTGGACTTTGATGCACTTATACAGCAAGATATTGATTAGGGTGGGAGAAAAAAAAGTGCTTCATTAAACATAGCAGATGCATGGCAAATTTGGATTCTGGTTATCCTGATGCTGGTGACTGTCACTGCATGAGTGTGCTGGCCCTGAGCTGTAACACGGTGTTGTACCCATAGCTGTGACTCACATTTTCTAATTACTCAAAGTCCTAAGTGAGGCAGGGACTCAGCTGTACAGAAGAGAAGGATGAAATGGCATCTCTGTAAGACAGTAAGCAGATTTTGTTATTGCTGCAAGGAGTTGAAACTGCTGGCAGCTGCCAAATTCTTATGCACCAAAGATGCAATTTAGCATTAGTGTTCACAAAGGTGTGATCAGTTTTCATTTCAGAACTGCTAGGCATATTCTAATTGAAGCAACAGGATGTCTTCATCCACAGTACAAGCTTTTTAATAATTTCAAAATGCTCCCAAGCAGGTAAGTGCTTGTAGAAACAGAGACAAGGCCTTCTACAAAAATTCAAGCTCTGAATGGATTCAAGCCTCATAAAAGCTCATCAAAAGCCTCCTTGATTGAGAAATCCTAGTCTAAAAGACATTTGACAGCTATTCAGTGAATTACTTACACAGGGATACTCCAAACCACCTGAAATAAATAGCCACCACTACAGAATCCAAGACATATTGTGTTATGGAACATCTGGATGGAAGGACCATCTTGGATGTGTTATCATTCTCTCAGACTCTAAACACAGACTGTAGACTATTAGGAGCGAAAACAAGCAGATGAAGCTTTAGGGCCCTTGCAGTCACAGTACTTGCTCTCAGGTAGCTAAGCCGCATGCTGTCTATGACATAGGGAATTGAAAGAGCATCAGATGATTTATTTGGGATTTATCTCCCAATAATATGACAATGTAGGTCTGCTGCTGCAGGCATGTGGCCCTTAGAAATGAGCATGAGGCATGGGGGGCATTGATTCAGTTTACAATGACTATTTCTAGTGTCACCTACATTCAATCAATAACTGTAAATTGTATTTTCCTACCAACACAGAAACTGATACACACATGGGTTCACTATATGTAGGCAACCACTCTTCATAACATATGTCATATCATGCCATATCATATCATCATTTTGGCACCTTCCCAGTATTAGACTCAAATGCAGTCCTCAGACTCCTCTAGACAAGAGAAATTAAACTTCTGGTCATGTATCAGCTAATAGGTGCACAGGAAGATATGTATTTTCATCTTCTGGGGAGAAATCAAATATTGGAAAGACAGGCCAACACATGTGTTAGCACGGTTACAACAAAAAATTCTCAAAGTTGATTCAAACATTACCTTTAACACACATTCAATTCAAATCAAGTAGCTTCTGTCTGAGGAGTTAATAGCATGTTTGATTTGTAGTATCTGCTCCCTGAATATTCAACTTTTCCAAATATTAAAAGTCCTCACATGCTGTAGTGGCTGAATGGAACTGATAATGATATTAACTTCAGAGTACAGAGGATGCAGCATTTCCACTCTGTTAATACCTTTTCTTATAGGATATTTACATCCTACTTCTAGGTCAGACCAGGGAAAGACCTTGGCAAGTTCAGGCCAAGACATCAATTGTTGTGCCCCAAAGCTAGTTCAATTAATGGGTTTATAGATCCAGCTTTCACTGCAGTACTTCTTGCAGCAATTGCTATTTAGAGAACTTGCTTTGCAAACAAGAGTGTACTGTTTCATTGAGATAATAGGACTATGGGTAGAGATTGTTAAAGAGCAATCAGCAAAACAGGACTGGTAATGAATCTGATGAAACTCTGTTTGACTTACAATATCAATTTTGGAGCTAAGTACGTGCTTGGTATAATAATAGCCTCATCTCATTTTCTGTTGCAAGGACTCTACTTGCTGGGCTCAGACGGAGAAGGTTCTCATACTGATCTGCTCAGATGACAGTGGAATCTTTGACAAAAAAGACAATGGTCAAATCAGAGCAACAGCAAGCACTCCCGG